TGCAGAGGCCACTCCAACCCATCCACCTCCCTTTTAGTAACCTTTGCACTGCAACCCTGCTATACACTATACACTGGATGCTGGCTCAGCTGACTGACAAGCTCTTAACCACTGAGTCATCTCTCCAGCCCAACACACTCACACTCTTGCATACACATGTATGTGTAGAGGTTAGAGGAAGCCACTGGGTGTCCTGCCCTATCACTTTGCATTATTCCCTTGAGACAGACATCACTCAGTCTGAAGCTGACATCTACACCAGGCTGGCTGGCCAGTGAACTACTTGGATCTGTTGCTTCTTTTCATCCCCAAGGTGCACATGTGACCATACCTGACTTTTTAACCTAAGGGGATCTGAACTCAGGTTGTCTCCCACTAACTATCTCAGCCTAAACTTCACAGATTCTTCAAGACATGGTTTCTCTATGTAACAGTCCTGGCTGTCAAGGAACTTACTCTGTAGACCAGGTTGGCCTGAAACTCAGAGATCCATCTGCTTTTGCCTCAAGTGCTGGGATTAAAAGTGTGCACCACCACTACCCAACCCACAAATTCTTTTTGATGTTGTTATTGCTGCTGCTGCTTGGTTTTGGTTTTCAGTTTGGGGTGTGGGGGTGAGACAGGATGAGCCATGTAGCCCAGGCTGGCTTTACAGTCTCCATGTTCCTGCCTCAGCCATATGAATGCTCAGATCATAGGCAGGCACCACCGTGATGATTCCTTATTTGCTGCAACTGGAAGTCAGTGGCTAAAGAGAAGGAAGGCTTGATCTTCCTTTGGGGTTGTCTTAAAGATTGCACGTCCTTTGTACTCCAGGGCAGCTGAACTCGCCTCTGATATGAACCTTCAGTAAGTATGCTGTCCAATCTGAGCCAGCAGGACACAAAGAAAAGCAACTGTCAAGCTTTGCCAAGACAGGGTAGGACAGTCCTACAAATTCTCCTGCTTCTTAAAATGGTGTGTCAGATATTCTAGACCTATAAGCCAAAGTTGGATGCCCCAGTGTCACAGAGAAACCTTGGGTGACTGTCCAGGCAGCCAGCTGTTTCTGTCATTACTTGCTTCTTTTGGAAGTTGCTTGCTTGTACTTCCTGCTTACTCAGGTTATTTTTTTCCTTCTCAGGTCTTTGATGGGGTGGAAGATTAGATAGTCACAGTTATTATCCTCTCTTACCTTATCTAAGGGCATATTAGGCACAAGACAAGACAGATTCTTTAGAAAAGGACAGCTTTTGGAGTAATCTCTATAAAAATTGCCAATTATGTATGGTCTGGACATCTAAGATGTATTTCTTACTTGATAATTTTCTTATCGTGCATAGTTTTTATTAGGATTAGAACCCTCATTTTTATTTTAGACTAAAAGTGGGAAATGTTGTGAGGATTTGGTCTGATAGCCAATTGTATGGGGAAGTTTGGCCCAATGGGCATGGTCTTTTCCGGAGATATGTAAACCAAATAATGGTGGGGGGGTGAATTTGATTCATTCCTAAAAGAGATAAGGAAGGTCGAGAGAAGGTCACCAAGCCATGGCTTCAGCAAGCCCTCCCAGGTCCAAGAGAGTAAGATATATGCCCTTCTTGGGTCACATATCTCCAGAGAAGACCACATCCTTTGGGCCATGCCACCCCATACAATTGGCTATTGGATCATATTCCCACAACACTCACCTCCTTGCTTCCTACTTGCCAATCCCTGCTTCCCTCCTCTTCACCGGCTCCACATCAGCCACAAGTAAGTGTTTTTCAGCTCTTGATTGGAGATGATGCCCTTGAAGAGGCGGCTCCTGGTCTGGCCATCCACATGGAAGGGATACAACCCAACTGGAGTTTCCTGCTGCATTTTATTCATCTATGAAAGGTGACAATGTGACTGCGCCACTGATGGCATTGCAGTGTCACTGTGCAATAGAGCTGGCATAATGTAAGCCAGCTGGCTGGCACTCCGTGACTCCTTAAAATGAAATGGAGGTGAGGGCTGGAAATGAAATGGGTCTGCTGACACAGGGCCATGATTCCCAGTGGGTAGGAGGACAATGTGGAATAGATTTCTCCTTGCACACTGTAGAAAATCTAGTTTGCACCAATTAGCAAGGCAGGGAAGGGAGAACAGAGAAATGAATCGTGAACTGAACTCTTGGTCTCTGCTATATTAGTCCATTCTTGGGGAAAACAAACAAGCAAACAAACAAACAACAACAAAAAACTAAACAAAACAGTCCATTAATGTATACAATACTCAAAATGTTCCACTAGGGGGTTGTAGAGAAGTCTCCATGGCTAAGAGCACTGACTGCTCTTCCAGAGGACCAGGGTTTACTTCCCAGCATCCACAGCACAGTTGATAACTGTGACTCCAGTTCCAGGGGATCTGGCATTCTAACAAAGATGTACATGCAGGCAAAACACCAATGCACATTTAAAATTTTCACTGGAACAATGCCAGGGTGCCTATCACCAAAACACTGTGCTGGCAAGTACTGGTGGTCCAGGGTACTATGAGAAAGCAGGTTGAGTAAGCCAGTAAGCAGAACTACTCCATGGTCTCTGCATCATGATGCTCCTGCCTCCAGGTTCCTGCCCTGTTTGAGTTCCCATCCTGACTGTCTTCAGTGATGGACTTTGGTGTGAGAATGTAAGCTAAATAAACCCTTTCCTTCCCAACTTGCCTTTGGTCATGGTGTTTCATCACAGTAATAGTAACCCTAAGACAGCAACTGTGTACTTGTGTTGTTTTGGAAAGAACTGAGGGTGGCTTACAAAGATTTATGAGATTCCATAATAGAAAGTTAAACACAAGTTAGTTGTAAGTGAGGATGAATAAAGACAAAGAAATGGGATAGGCTGAGAGCTGTAATGGTCACATTAAAAGATAAAGATGTTCCATGCAATCCTGCATGCCACCAAGTGCTACGTGACCAGAACAATAAAACATAGATCCTGTGTAAGTGACCAACAATAGAGAGCCACGATCAGACTCATAATCCATAGTGTCTGTTAAATATGCACCAGCTTCCCACAAGATACCTAATTCTTTCTGCTGGGGTCTGTGTTAGTTTCCTCCACTTATTCCCCATCTAAAACAAGTCCTGTTTCCTCTGAGGTGGAAGCAGAAGCTACAGGACTACAGAGCATGGCCAAGACAGGAATGACAGAGTTTTAGGTTCTTTTCTCAATCATAGAAAAGGCCCCGACTGACCTAGGCACAGGCTTGGCTGTGCAAGGCATAGCTTTTACCTCCACTGCTATGTCTAGATCAGGCCAAATAAAAAACATTTTTAAAATACAAACTGAGTGACCGAGTGACCGCTGGTGCCAACTACAATGCAGTGATGAGCCATCACAATTTCCCATACTCAGAGACCAGACTCCAGCTGGTTTAAGATGGGGTGGTCTGGACATCACTGGCTAGTATTATAATCACTTGTAATCTGGTGTTATAACCTGTATTACCACTTGTAAGCATGATGGGGGGTGGTAATTTAGCCTTTCCCTCTGCCTCAGTTACACTTCTGTAAAATGGGGACTATTGGAAAAATAGCTACCCCAAGGTTGTTTGAGGGTTCCATTAGATAAGTTATGTAAAATCTTTTGTACAGTGCCTGGTACGAAGTAAATATTAATTGCTATCGTTCTATTAAATACACATTGTATGTCACATGTATAGAGGGACTATACCTTACATTCCTGAGCTCCTACCACCCAGGACAGTAGCTATCAATAATGGACTCAGAACAAATTCATGGTGAGTAAATCAAACGTGGAATAACTTAACGTCTGGATATAGAAGCAGCTAGATCTTTGCATGTCAATACAGAACATCTACTGTGTGCTAGGAGCCACAAAGGGCCATTGACGGTGGATCTTGTCCTTAGTACCTGACAGATGTTCTTGAAGGAGGACAAGGCTTGGATTTAGCTTAGTGATAGAGGATTTGCTTAGCAGTGGTTTTGATCCCTGGCACAGGAAAAAAAAAAAAAAGGAAAATAATCCAAGAGAGAAAATGTTTGATACAACTGAAAGACCAAAAAGTGAAGTTAAATGAAGGACGGTCTGACCTAGAAAGCTAACCAATATCTGTTCCTTGGAATTTGCTAGCTTCCTCTCACCAGGCCCTGAGATGACAAGAATTCACACTGCCCCTCCTTTCTGCCCCTCCTTTCCTGTGAGTCTACAGGTGGTAAATAGGGTCCTTAGGAAACAAAGAGATAGCTGTAACTCTGGTTAATTAGCACACTCTGAGGCCCTAAGGTCTGTTGATCCTAATAGCAGACCATCAGGCCTCCAAGGGTCACGTACTCAATGGACAGAGGATCCCACCCCCTCCCTAGCTTGTGGGTTTGCCTTTAAAAACACCTGGGCCCAGGGGAGGGGGCTTCTCTCTAGTCTGCATGCTGGAGGAGCCAGTTTGCGCAAACGTTTCCTGTTCATTAAAGCCTCTTGCGTTTTGCAGCAACTGGACTGGACATTGAGTTCTTGGGGCATCGACCAAATCTGGAAGACTCCTCATTCTGAGGGTCTTACACAACCTGTTGCAAATGAACGTAGAAATAAATAATTGACCCACGAAGATTGTTCGGGCCTAATTAACATGCCACAAACGCAAGTTCCGGACGCAGGCGCCAGGGGGCGCTGAACCTGTCGACCTCAGCCCGGCTGAGGAACATGCCAGTTTAGTGGCCGTCGCCGAGCAGTGACGTCACGTCCGCTTGCGCGTTTGCGTCAGGACGACGGAGCGGAGTCAAATGTAAATACACCAGTTTCTCAGGCCCAAACTTAGGCTGCTGCGTGGGGACTCCGAGCCGTGAGGTGTTCAGGCAGCGCGCAGGAGACAGGAACGGCTGGTCCAGTGAGGGCTTCACTCTGCGCCGGGCCGCTTAACTCGCTGGGAGGGGTGGGGCGGGTGCGCATGCGCGAGGCGGGCGCCAGGGCCAAGAGTGAGTGCCGCTGGCGGGAGGTGCCATGCATTTGTCAGGTCGGTCGGGAAGCTCACCTCGGCTGGGGCGGGGTTCCAGACAGCCGGGAAGGCTCATCTGGCAGTGTGCTAGGCGCACTATCCTCGAGGTGGGCGCTCGGCAGATGGCGGTTGTTATCGAGCAAGGTTGGAAACAGCGTGCAGTACGGACCGGGCTTCTTCAATAACTGCTTTGCTCCCGTTAGTCCCCGAGTTGTGTTTTGTGTGCCTCAGTGTGCAAGCCACTCGTTTGAGTCCGGGAGAAGCAATACGGACTAAAACATTCTTCTTCGGAATACAGGCATTGTGAGAGGCAGGAGAAAGGTGGAGATTAAATATTCTGTGATTGTGTTAGAAATTAAGAGTTGCAAGGACTGGGCAAGGAGGGGTTGGTGCTGTAAGAGATCGGATGAGTAAGATGAAGGAGGCAAGAAGGGTGAGACACGTGGCTACCCGCTTCTGGGTTACAGGGAAACTAGTCTTAAGTGAGGCCAAGAGGAGGAGAAAACCCAGAGTGTTATTTAGGTCTCAAATTCCTGTTCTCTGGGTATGGTGTCCCCCGTCTTTAACCCCAGCACTCGGGAGGCAGAGGCAGGCAAATCTCTGAGTTCGAGGCCAGCTTGGTCTACAGAGCGAGTTCCAGGACAGCCAGAGCTCTGTTACAGACAAACCCTATCTTGAATATCTCCATCCCCAGAAGAATTCCTTTTCCCAGTGGCTGGCACTTAGACAAAAGCTACCTACTGTTTCCTCTGGAGTTTAAGACAGTTGAGTCATTCTTCTTATATCTGGGCAAAAGTTTCACTGGCTTCTCCTTTAACCTATGACTGTGGTGCTTATTAGCATATCACTGGCTGTGCTAGGCCCCCTCAGTCCCTGCTCAGTGGTACCAACCACAGTCATTCTGGCTGACAAGCCCTGCCCCCTCCCCTAACCTCCTCATTCCTGGCTTCTCTTCCCTGTGTAACTCAGCTTTTTTATTATTAACCCAACTCTCTTAGTTCTCTTTTGTCCTCTTGGCTCCTCTCTTGCTCTTCCTGGCTCGATATTCCACCCTACTCTGCATAAAATGAGAAGCATCACAATGTCTGAGCAGGATTGTGATATGAGACTTTTTGAGTTTTGTTAGTGTGGTGTGTGTGTGTGTGTGTGTGTGTGTGTGTGTGTGTGTGTGTGTTGGGGGGGGGGTGTTCAGGACAGGTTTCTATGGGTAGCCCTGGCTGTCATGCTGTCATGGAACTTGATCTGTAGCAGGCTGGCTGAAACTCACAGAGATCCGCCTGCCTCTGCCTCCTGAGTGTTGGGATCAAGGGCATTTGGTATCACTACCTGGCTGTGATGTGATTTAACACATTCACAGCAGCCATATAGATTAGAGAGGGAGCAGAAGAGTCAAAACCAGGTTACTTGCTAACAACATGCTTGTGAGCATCCCTGCAATCAAAAAAAGACATCAGCAGTGACTGCAAGAGCTATATCCTGAACCTGTTGAGTTTTATGCCAAGTTACTGAGGGCAACTCCGTCTCAGTGCAGCCTGCAGAGGGCAAGACTAGATTTTACTTTGAGAGCTCAAGACTGTGCAGAGTGATTGTTTAAGTCATTTTTAAAAATTAATTTGTTTTTATTTAATGCATATGGGTGTTTTGCCTGCATTTGTTTTTATGCACCATGTAGTTGCAATGCCTAGGAAGACCAGAGGAGGGTGTTGGATCCTCTGGAACTGGAGTACAAACCCTGTGGGTAATGGAAATCCAGTCTGGCTTCTCTACAAGAGCAGCAAGTGCCCTTTAAAAAAGTAAAATATAGTGTGTCATTTTAACTTTTTTTTTTTTTTTTTTTGTCATTAAGGAAATATACATTGTCATGTGACCATTAACACCAGTATTGTCTAACTAGGGTTACGTAAAATACTATAAGTCTTTAAAAGTCAAATAGGCTGATATGGTGACATTCTAGCTGGTAATCTCTGTCCTTACTAGAGAGAGCAGGAAGATCAGTTCAAGGCTAGCCTTGGCAATATAACAAGTCTTCCTCAGTAAATAAATAAATAAATAGATAAATAAAATAATTGAATTGCCCATGTTCCCATTAAAAATACAATATTACTATTAATAACAAGATGTATGTGGTAATTATGTCTTGACTCCTTACAGGTACCCCATGTTTGAAGATGCCAGGTACTGCGTATGAAAGAATAGTTTACAAGAACCCCTCGGAGTATCACTACATGAAAGTCTGCTTGTGAGTTCAGTCTTACAAGTTCTGTTTCACAGTACTTATACCTTTCTGTTTTGTTTTGTTTTTAGTGAATCTGAAAAGCATGGAGTTTAATATATTTTCTCTTTTTATTTATTGTTTTTCAGAGAGTTTCAAGAACACGGAGTTGGACTGAATATAGCCCAATTCAAACAACTGCTTGTTTCAGCCCTGAAGGACCTGTTTGGGGAGGTATGAGTCACTTGGCAGGTTAACATTCTTTAGGTTTTCATAAGAAAGTCTATGTAAGGTGTACGGTTTTTCCTCCCGCCACTGGTCTTGTCCCGCCGCCGCGCCAGCCCCAAATAACACAGAGACTCTGTATTTGTTATTATACTGTTGGCCAGTTACCACTTTCTTATCGGCTAGCTCTGTCTTAAGTATTAACCCATTTCTGCGTGTTTCCACGTGGTCTCCTTACCCGGGAGTGAGGCAAGCGTCTGGTCTCCCCGGTCTCTCCATGCTGACTCCTCCTCACTACTTCCTATTTCCTCCTTGTCTCCTAGTCCCTCCTATCTTACTTTCCTATTGGCCAACAGTGCTTTTTCATTAACCAGTATGAGAAACATATATACATAATGGTATCTCCCATCAAGTCTAGAAAAGGAAGCAAGGGTATAGCTTAGTGGTGAAATGGTAGCTACCTGGTGGCTTACCTTGACCTGGTCATACCCATCACTTGTGCATACACCTATCATAATTCTAGTATCTGTGATTCTCTCACTGACAAGTGAATGTAGAATAAGAATTCAAGGTAAACCTCCTCTACATAGCTGTTGGAAGTCAGCCTGTCTACATGAGACTTTTTTAAAATGGAGAAAACTTTTTTGTTTGTTTGAGACAAGTTTTGTGTATATCCTTGGTTGTCCTGAAGTTTGCTCCATAGAACAGGCTAGCCTTAAATTCACAGAGCCACCTACTTCTGCCTCCCAAGCACTGGGATTAAAAGGGAGCAACACCACTCCTGGCCTAGAAGAACACTTTGTAAGAAACACAAAAATGCCATTTTTTGAAGATGTACTGGAATTTGCAAAAGCCAACTTTCAGAAATAATCAGTTCTGATAGGTTATTCCAGTGTGCCCTGTATTGACAAGGGACCTGTTAGACTATTCTTACACAATGCTATCAAATTATAGTCTAGATTGGTAACATCATTGCCCGTCTTTATAATGGGAGCTAGCACACTTCAGTGAGAATGTCTCCTTTAAAACAGTGTGAGGGTGTCAAGATGCTCTGAGTTTAGTTCCTGGAACCCACATGGTGAAAGGAAAGAACAAACTCTTGAGAGTGTCCTTTCACCTCCACACATGTGCATATATGTGTGAGCAAACAGACCTTGGTGCATGTGCAGTGACACATACATATACATGTGGGGAAAACGCATAGAGATAAATAAATCTTTTAACTTTATTTATTTGTTTATTACATTCCAATCCCAGTTACCCCTCCCTCCTCTCCTCCCTTCCCTCTAACTCTCCCCACTTTCCCTGACTTCCACCCACCCCACCTCCCATTTGCTCCTTGGAGAAGGTAAGGCCTCCCTTAGGAAGTCAACTAAATCTGTCCCATCATCTCGTTGAGGCAGGATCAAGACACCTCTCTACCCCCACGCTCCTGTGCCTACGCTGAACAAAGTGTCTCTCCATATAGAATGGGCTCCACTCAGTCAGTTTGTGCATTAGAGTTAGATTTTGGACCCACTGACAGTGGCCTCATGTATTGTCCCAGTCGCACCATTGTCACCTGTATTAAGGGAGTTTAGTTTGGTCTTATGCAGGTTCCCCATTTGTCAGGTCTGAGTCAGTGATCCCTTACTAGCTCAGGTCAGCTCATTCTGGATTTCCCCATCATGGTCTTGACTCCTTTGTTCATATTGTTACTCCTCCCTCACTTTGATTGTATAATAAATAAATCTTAAAGTAATAAAAAAAATAAGCAGAAGTAAAACATTGGTTGACATTCTAGTGCAGCTTCTTAGCCTGTCGCAGGCCAGCACTTTGAGCAGTTATGTCTTAGCATTCATTTAACACAAGTTAAAGTGGACAGGAAGGGCAAAGATAGGATTGACTCTCAGTAAATTCCGTCATACATTCATTCTGTTCAAGTCTGCCATGTATCTTATCAAATGTACTCTGTAAAAACTATAAAGAAGATGGAGAGAGCCAGGCAATAGTGGAGCATGCCTTTAATCCCAGAACCCAGGAGGCAAAGGCCAACCTGGTCTACATAGTGAGTTCTAGGATAGCCAGGGATACACAGAGAAACCCTGTCTTGAGAAACCAAAAGAAGAAGGAGGAGGAAAGATAAATTATAGATTGGGAAAAAAAAAATATTTAAAAACCATATGTCTGACAAAGAAGTATTATCTAGAATATTACAAAGAATCCAACCCCTAACCCCCCATCCCCCGCCCACCCCCTTCCAGCCTGGTCAAATCTAAGTAAATTCTGAATTGTATTAATACCAGTTGCCTGGCTTTGATCCTTACCATACGTATATAAGATGCTGTTTTGGGGGAGCCTGAGGGAAGAGTACATGATGTAGATTGCAACAAATTAAAAAGCAAAACTTGCAATTTCTATATGCCATTAAAAAAAAAAGTTTCAGGAGATAGAGCTGTAAGACATGCTTTCTATTTCTTGGGTTATCAGTCTTGTTAAATAGTGACTAGAAGGAGAAAATTATGGAAGAGCAAAGTGTGAGGTCTTGTATAAGAAAGAGTCCAAGAGCCCAGTTAGATTGAGCCTAATCTTGTGAATATGGGAAGGAGCTGCTTTTCTTGTTGTTGTTTTGTTTTTGTTTTTCTAAGACAGGGTTTCTCTGTGTGTAGCTCTGGCTGTCCTGGAACTCACTGTAGACCAGGCTGGCCTTGAACTCACAGAGATCTTTATGCTTCTGCCTCCTCTAAGTTCTGGGATTAAAGGCATGTGCCAACACTACCCAGTGTGAAGGAGCTTTTTTTTAAACTGGGGGGGGGGTGTTGAGGGGTGTACAGAGGTATGTATATGCCCATATGCATGTGTGGGAGTTAGCTCTCTCCTTTTACCATGTGGATTCTGGCGATTGAACTATGGGGATCAAGCTCAGGTCATCAGGGTTTGTGCCAGACTACATTATCCACTGACCCATCTCACCAGCTGGAGAAGGAACACTTTTAAACACAGGTTCAAAGGTAAGGAGGTATCATGAAGAAGAATAGGAATATTCCAAGCTGCAAGAGCTCTTAGCAGGCATGAGAGTACAGTACCATAAATTGAAGTCCTGGTTTTTATCAGAGTTCATGATAACAGGAGTCTACCAACGGTATTGTTCCATACATAGGTCGGTGCTGCTTTACCTGTGGACATCCTAACCTATGAAGAGAAGACTTTGTCAGCCATCTTGAGAGTATGCAGCAGGTATGACAGTGAAATAGTTCTAGAATTACAGGGCAGAGAGTGGTGGAGTAGCACAGTGAAGATGTTTCCAGGGTGACAGTGCATCGCTGGGAACTCTGGGCACCTTTGAGGAAGTCATACTGGAGTTAATATGAACATTCCTCTACCTGGGATTATACTTGAGATAAGAGAAAACCTTGTGGTTTGTTTGATCACAGCCAATTTCCCAGTTGATGATTGTTGTTTTAAAGTCAGAAATGTGTGCATTTTAGATTCTTGGGCTCAATTTGTTCTTTCTGTGGTATGTTCTTCTAAGATTCTGTTTTATTTAAATGAGGCTTCTGTGGCTATTTGTTTTTAACTTTCTAGACAGCAACAAGCGAAAGTACTAGGGAGCTGTTGGCAGCAGAAATCTTTATGTATGCTTTCTTGATCTTTATGCAGTGGTCTGGCTAAATTGTGGAGCTCTTTGACCTTGTTTGGAGCCTATAAAAACAAGAAATGTGCCTTCAGAGTGATTCAGGTAAAGGCTTTTCCTTCATAATTTTGAGGAGGACTGAGCACCATGATTATGTGATCTGTGTGTCTCAGTTTAGCCCTGAGTAAAGCAAACAGAGTTAACATCTAGCAAGGGCAAACCCCGAATCCCACTGCCTCTGAAACTGAGGCAAAGTAGTCAGATTTTAGGTCACAAAGGAGATGTTTGAAAGTCAAATTTGTGGTAAAGGCTTCTCATTGAATGCTACATGCAGTGTTGCCTTGGCAGGCTGTTTCCAGGCTTATGATTACTTGTGTAGCCAGTGCTTCCTCCAGGATGAGCCTTAAGATGTGACTGCTGCATTGTATGTCCTGTAAAGCTTGCATGTTTCTTGTGTTGCCTGTTGTTTCCATGCAGTTTGAGCTAACCTTTTCTTTTTTTTATAGGTGTCTCCCTTTCTCCTGGCATTATCTGGAAATAGCAGGGAACAAGTGTTGGATTGAATACTCTTACAGTTCCAGAAACTTTCCACTCTGAACAGTATCTTGTGATGACTTCATAGATTGAAAAAAGAAGCAGGCTAAAGCCCCTATTGATGACATTTGAAGATATCGAAGATGTTCTCTGTCCATCATCTCTGGGGGAGTGGGCTTCAGAGGAGACTGTGGCTAAATTGCCTGGTACCAACAGGGAAGTGCTTTCAGCATGTGCACACACGGGTTGGAGACCGTGCTGAGCTCAGCAGAGCTTTCACACAGCAGGATGTAGCTACTTTCTCAGAGCTAACAGGAGATATCAATCCTTTGCATATAAGTGAGGATTATGCAAAACACACCAAGTTTGGAAAGACAATTGTGCATGGCGTTTTGATAACTGGACTTATTTCTGCTCTCCTGGGAACAAAAATGCCAGGGCCAGGCTGTGTGTTTCTTTCCCAGGAAATTAAGTTTCCAGCCCCTTTATATGTTGGGGAAGTGGTTTTAGCATCTGCAGAAGTGAAAAGGTTGAAGCAGTTTGTTGCTGTGGTTGCAGTGTCTTGCTGTGTAATAGACAGTAAGAAGACTGTTATGGAAGGTTGGGTTAAAGTTATGGTTCCAGAAGCTCCTGATGCTGAAATACAGATGTAAAGTTGTAGTTCAGACTCCTGTGTTCTTGTTATCATGACATCTGGGGAAGTGGGCTTTTGTTCTTCATGAAGAAATGTCTGGTATACCTGGAAGCCATGTGGGCAAGAGAGCAAGCAGACAATTTGTTCCAACGTCTACTTTCCCAACTAGCTTTATGCTTTACCCAGACTTAAGTATGTACAAGGTTTCATCTTCTTTGGCGGTTTGGGTTTTTCTTTTGTTTGTTTTTTGTTGTTGTTGTTGTTGTTTTTCCAATTATAAACAATTGAAAGCTACTGGAGGGATGGTTTATCAGTTAGGCTCACTGGCTGCTCTTCCAGAGGATCTGGGTTTAATTCCTAGCACTCATAACTGTAACTCCACAGTCAGAGGATCCGACACTGTCTTCTAGCCTCTGCAGAAACTGCATGTACATAGTGCACAGACATACATGCAGGCAAAACAGCCACACAAATACAACAATAAGATTTTAAAATCTTTTTTAAAAAATGAGAAAGCTATCTGCATGTTTTACTTTCAGAATTTCAAACATAGTTATATTTGAATTTGATAACACCTACCCATACCTGTGCTGAGGAAGTTTCTTACTGAGTTTATACCACCATAAACTTAGTTACTAACTGTAATGATTGCAGTAGGGTCATCTTTGAACGCCTACACTTTAGGATTAAATATTCTTAACCCCTTTCCTAGTAATTTCTGCATTAGAGTTATAATTCCTTACTATTTACCCCAAGGTAATCTTGTGCTGGATGTGGTGGCACATGCCTTTGCTTCTTACTTGGGAGGTAGAGGGAGATGGAGTTCAAGGCCAGTCTGGTATGTATAGCAAGTTCCAGGACAGCCTGTCTCAAAAACACAAAAAATGTTGTCAACTTCAACCTTCTCTGTGACTTGAGGTTTTTGCTGTTATGGGTGAGGGATTTACATGCAGCTTTGACTCAGTTATGTAAACTAATATGATTCAGCATTGTTGAAATAATAGAAACATAGGAATAAGAAGAGGGCCAATAACCAATATTATCCTCCCACTCTGGCCTTTCATGAGTGAGGTTAGGTAGCTTCTTGGAGCCTGTCTTGGACTAGCTCTTGTAGACCAGGCTGGTCTCGAACTCACAGAGATCCACCTGCCCTGCCTCCCCAGTGCTGTGATTAAAGGTGTGCACCACAATAGCAGGCTATGGTGCTGTCTTAAGTAACCAGGTGTGTGTGTGTGTGTGTGTGTGTGTTTGTGCATGTGGAGGCCAAAGGTCAGCTAGGTGCCATCACTCAGATAAGATTCACTTTACCTTTTTTTATCCTTGTTGACCTGGGACTCAATAATTAGATGAAACTGGCTGACCAGTGAGCTCAAGGTATCCATAAGTCTCCACTTCCTCAAGCCCTGGGGTTATATATAAGCACAAGCTTTGTTTTGTGCCTGCTTTGTTTGCTTAGAGGTGGATTCTGGGGTTGAACTCAGGTCCTCACAGTTACTCGGCCTGGCACTTTGTCAGCAGAACTATCTCTATTCCAATAACCAGACCAGAACAGAAGAAATTGATGCAAAGAATTATTATAGTCGCTAGAGGGCAGTCATGTGTCTTAAGTGAGTTCTAAGCCTATTCCTCTTCCAGTGTGTGAAGGTGAGAAGAAAACACCAAAGCAGTGTCAGGAGCAAAGGTACTATTGTAAGTCTCAGAATGGGCAGCATTGCAGACTGAGTTCACCTAAGAATGACTTAGTTCTCAGCAAGTCCCCAGACTTGATGAAATGTGTCAAATACCAGAAGAAAATAGAGAACTCGGTCAGTGCACACTCCTGTAGAAGTTATCACTCGGGATTCATCAGCAGTGTGGATCCTAAGTGTGGATCCATAAATGGAGCATGATATGATTTTTCTACATTTCTAATAAGTTAATATTCTGCATTTACTATAATTCTTGAAACAGTTTAATAAAGTTAATGGTCCATTGTATTGACACAGAAGCAGACGGATGCTATATAGCTTGTCCAGGGTCATACAGCTACTATGCAATAGAGCTATGATTCAAGCTAGAATCTTTCCTATCACTGTGGATCTACAGGCTTTTCATTCCTGGAGCACTGTCAATTTCAATAGCATTTTGTTAAATGAGAATTACAGCCATTCAGATTGATATGTTGTAGCAAATCCCTATTCTGTAGCTATGGTTTCTACCTAATACCTGCTCCTCACCCTCACCCCCAATAATAGTCATGCCACATAGTGGTCTAGTCTGGCTTTGAGCTCAACATCTTCCTGTTTCAGCTTCCCAAGTCCTGGGAAAACACGTGTGTAGCACTGTACTTGGCCACCTACCCTTTTCCTACATGACATTCAGAGATTATGTTCAGAGGATGAAAGCTCTAAAGATCAAGTAGATGAAAAGATAAGTTAGAGACAGGCACAGTGGTTGATTCCTAATTCTAGCAATTCAGAGACCGAGGCAGGATATCTGTCCCAACCAGCCAAGAGAAAATGTTATATAAGCCATGTGGGAAATGGAGAGAGATGCTACTTTGGCTCATAGATGATTCTTATTTAGAGTATTTTCACATTAATAGTTTGGGGTGTCCATGAACTTTGGTCTCTGTTAAACAGTAGAGTCTGTAGTCTGTAAGAGATGACTCAGCCAAGGCTGTCAGCTCATACTCTATTAAAGTAGCCATGAAGAGAAATGATCATTCACTTTTTCAAGCCCACATGAGATGCCAGAAAGAATGACCATCTTACAATGAAAGAGACTGATAATTGAGAGGGAGCCTTGATTATGCTAGATCCTATATGGAAGTGAGTGCAAAAGTAATGACTAAAATAGACCAATTTGTTTAGCACTTTCCATATCAGTGGCATTCATTATAAGACTGCAATTTATGTGATATTTGATTGGCACAAAAAGAATACCCATCTTAAGCAATTTTATCCTAATGTACTGGAAAATTGCTTAACAGACAGTTATAGTCTGTTGGACACATTTCCATATTGCTGAAATACCACTCTTCCCCCTGCCCCGCAGCAGTAAATCTTAGATTAATGGGTAGAACCTCACCATGGCCACCATTTATCTTGTAGACTTGATTTGTGTGTTGTTCTAGAAAAAGAAATGTCTAAGTGCATACCAGTACCTCTGAGATAACCATTAGTTTTCATTTTGGTCCAAACTATTAGTCATTTTTCTTTTATGTTCCTAGAATGTAATTCACAGACCCTGAAAAATTGCTGTTAAATCACATCTATTAAGGGTTTATATTAAAACAGTCTACCAGGGGTCGGCTGTCTGCCACTCTGAGCAGCTGGGTTCGGTGCTGCCTCGTGTGCTGGCATAGTTGTTCGACTAGCTCCAGGTCAGCAGAATTGGGATGCATGTGGTGCCATCTCAGGGGTCCAGGTGCTTTGTTCCATAGTCTCTACTTTCATTTGGATTGCAAAGACCAGAAATCTCAGCATCTTCAGAGACATTTAGAATTGGAGCAGAATGAACCGCTAAAAGAAAACCCAAATAATGTGTCCACCAGTCAAACAAGATTAGAGATTCCATAAGCTTTATTCCTCAAGTGGCTCATAACTGTAAATTGTTTTGATATTATGCCCTGGACATATTTTCCCAGTGTTATCATAGAAAAATGTCAACATATGGATGTCGATGAATTATATTTTGTTTAATATCCAGACCATGAATATTTAAAGAAATGAAATAATTTGGACTTGTAAGACCACTCTGCTTCTGTGTACTGATTTGTATAGCTGTTGTCAGACCTAGAAATTTCCTCACTAAAATCCATTATGTTCAATCAGTCTGGCCGAACCTCAGGTTGTTAGATAAACAGTCCATGAGCTGTCTAAACATTTGACAACACAGCAGAATATAAAAATCCTCCTTCCTTCTGTTAGCCTGCAAGCAGTTGTATGTATGCAAAAAGCAAAACCATGACATTTTCTCATTCCTTATTAGTTTATTTAGCCCAAAACTAGAAAAGCAAGTCTGATTTTATTTAAATCAGCTCTGGCCTGGGAAGAGCTTCCCCATATTTAGTCTGTGCCATTTTAAATGCCATACAGAGCCAGGCACAGAATCTTGCATCTGTAGTCACTCGGGGTTCAGGCAGGAAAGAGAGCCACTAGATCCCCAGAAGTTCAAGTTCAAGATTGTAATTTAAAAAACAGCAAAAGCCAGATGAATACTGAGGTTATTGTGGGTTTTGGAGTCTGGTCCGTGTGTCCCAGGATACTTAGATGGTTGCTGACAAGGAAAAAATAAGCTTAGCAGAAGTGTGTGTACTGTGGGGCTTCCAGAAAGAATCACAGAGGAAGGATAAGGAAACAATGAGCTTGCCCCTGGCTTCCATCAAACATTTCTCACTTTCAGTTTCCCTTTCTTGGTAAAGAAGACAGGCAAGTCACATTTCATGACATGTGCAACAGCCTTCCAGAGAGAACAGCATTCAAATCCTTGTTCTCACGAAAGCCTGCGCTCACATCATTGTAACTAATAGCCTGCAGTTGGTTCTTAGTTTGTTGTTCAGGTACTACCAACATTAGCACTGTTCTGTGCATTCAGTAATCCTGCATGCTGAGGCTATACCAATCTCCATTCCATAGCTGGGGAAGCTTAAAGTGAAATCAGGCCGCTGGGTGCCTCTTGAGCTGGTGTAAATCTAAAGCAGGATGTGGACCTGTCACCATAACCAGCACTCTAGCTTCTCCCTCAGATTTGTGAAGGCAGGTTTTAGTTTTTTGTTTGTTTTTGGGTTTCTTTTTTTTTTTTTTTTTTTTTTTTTTTGAGACAGGATTTCTCTGTGTAGCTTTGGAGCCTGTCTGGGAACTCAATTTATAGAACAGGCTAACCTCAAACTCACAGAGATCCCACCTGCCTCTGTTTTCCAAATGCTGGGATTAAAGGTGTGTGCCACCACTGCCAGGCTAGTTTGTATAATCTTATATTGGGGATTAGATGCTTATCTTTACAAGGTATACCTTTTGGAAAACCCCTCATTACTTTCTTAGTG